AGCAAATGTTTTGAGAATGATGAGGGCAATGAATGTACAAATGTGCTTTATACAATGGATGAATGTATGGATTGTGATAAGAGTTGTAAGAGCCCCTAATAAAACGATTTAAAAAAAAGAATTCTTATGCAAAAAACTTACTCAGATTCAAGACTTCAATATTTCAGGCAGACCACCGGGAACATTCTTACCTCGATCAAGATCTTCCCCAACAGAACCGGGTCCTTCAGTATAAAAACGTTTCGCAAACTCCCGTATCTGCTCCTTGTAGTTTGAAATCTCGCTTCGGGTGATCTGAGAAAGAGCAAGGGCGCTTCTGTTGAGCCCCGCGGTGGCTTTCAGGGTTTGGATCAGAAAGCCAAGGGCACGGGTACCTCTGTGAACGTCCGCTTGATGCCTCCCAGGGCGCGCTCCACGTTCACGGAGTCGCTGAAGAGCGCGGACCACATGCTCTCGATCTTGCTCGCCAGGTCCTTCTCCGCCTCGGTCGGCTAATGCAGAAGAGGAGAAAGGCGGAGGGAAGAACAATCTGCAAGGGCACTTGAGGCACAAGCCACTGCCCCGGAACTTCGGCCTCCGGCAACCCCGAATGGACCCTATCGCTGACGAAATGAGAGCTTTGTTGAGAAACAAAGCGACTGGGCTTTTAGAAGCAGACAAAGGAACCATTGGTCGTGACCTTACAGAAGGAAAATGGTTTTGTTTGCCACATCGAATTAAAAAAACCAACTCGCTGCTGTCAAGTGGATGCCGACCCACAGCCACCCCGGTGGACAGGACAGCACTGCCCCCGTGAGTTTCTGAGACCGTGACTGGTTACGGGAGTAGAAAGTCCCGTCTTTCTTCCATGGAACTGGCTGGTGGTTTCAAACTGCTGACTTTGTGGCTCACAGCCCAATGCGTAACCACTAGCCCATCAGGCTTCCCTCTTGTCTTCCACAAGCGGGATATAAAACACACCCACTGTGAAGGGAAAAACTGCACTGGGCTTTTGTCTAGACCATCACGGAGCCTGTCCCTGGAGAAGGACATCAAGCTTGGTAAAGGAAAGGGGCAGTGAAAGAGAGGAAGACGCTCCAGGAGATGGATGGACGCAGTGGCTACAACAATGGGCCCCAGCACAGGAACAATTCTGAGCACGGCCCAGGCCCAGGCGATATTTCATTCTGATGTGCACAGGGTCACGGTGAGTCGGAAGTGACTCGCTGGCCCCACACATCCAGGGAAGGATAGATCAAGCTGAATACATCAAGAGCGCCTGTCAAGGAGGGATCGTCTTTCCTTGGTATGGTGGTTATGCGTGGGGCTGCGATCCACCAGGTCAGCAGTTCAAAACCAACAGCTGCTCCACAGTAGAAGACAGGGCTTCCTACTCCCAGAAGCCATGGGGCAGTTCTGTCTTGTCCGGTGGGGTCACCGCAAGTCAGCATCAACTCGATGGCAGTGAGTTTGGTTGAGTTTTATCAAGGAAAGGAGGAGGAGGAGGGAGGGGAAAAGCAACTTTGGCTGCCAACATTTATTTTAATCTTCAGAACTTCATCTGAATGGTATAGAAACATCAACTCCGTATGCACTCTGTGCTGCCGGAGGCACCAGTAAGTCAGATGAACGGGGAGAGAAGCCAGTACTGAGTGCACCTATCAAACAAAGAATCAACCCTGCAAACTGGGTACTGACAAACTGGAATGAAGAAATCGACGGCAACAGGGAACAAAGGAAGTAAGAGGAAGACAGCCTATCACATGGACAAGGCTCTCTTGTGGCCCCGTGGGTTCGGTGTTAGACAAGGAGGGGCTTCAAATTCGCCAGTCGCTCCGAGGGAGAAAAAGGAGGCCCTCTGCTCCCTATCAGGAACCCTGGATAGAGTGGCTCTGGGTCAGAAAGAAGGAACGGGCTCTACGGAGTGGATTTAGCGCTTGTTTTACCAAGTGGTCAGCGATGACTCTGAAACCCAGATGCAGCAGTTAGGGGGACAGGGACACAAATGACTAGAAGCAAAACATCCAGATGGGAATTCATGAAAAGGCTAAAATGCTGTAGAAGGTGGAACCATTGTCTCAAAGCAGGGAGTGTTGTCATTGTTCAATGGGAACCTCGTCAGCTGTGGAAGCTGTCATCAGACACTATTATTTTATTAATATTAAAGAAAAATATTAGTAGTAAATCTTATTTGGTAGTTGGACAATTTGATGTCAACTCGACTTTCCTGGCTAGAAGTGAAGTCAAACCTGTCAATCAAGTGATAGCGTGGTGACACCTCTGGGGGTGTGGCCTTTTGTATAAGAGTGAGGGCCTCTGAGAACGACAGTGTTCTCTCTGCTCCTCTGCCTTCCTGCCTGCTGGAATTCCTCCGGGCAG